TATTTTCTATTACAAGGTATATTTGTAATATAAAACCAGTAAATAGCTTTCTCTAACTTTTACCAGCTTAGATGATAGCAAATTAGATACGAATTTCATGACCCCTCACCAAATTCCACTAAAACATATACAAATAAAAGTACTAAGTGGGTATCATCTAACCCTAGAATTATAGCTCCTAGGACTCATCCTAGATGGTAGTTCTGGAAAAACACCTGGTTTTTGGAGTTGCAAAAGTTAAAAATTGAGGGTATATGATTAAATTTGTTTCATTTCATACTAAATATAAGGTGGCCGATTCTGGTGGAAAAGTGCTGGGAAACGTTCCCCGAGGTAATAAAATCTGGTTTTTATGGTAATAAATTTTTTTCATTTTTTCATTTTCAAAATATTTTTGGAGAAGAAAAAGTTGTTTCCCAGATGATTTGATAATGGATTATGTTTCTACTATTCATATTGGAGCATACTATCCTGTATTCATCCAATTCCCATATCTTCTGGTATCACCACATCTGTGATTCTTTCACCAGATTTTCCTCTCAATTTTTTTACAAAATCTCTCAATTTCTTTACAAAAGTTCTCAATTTTCACCATACCTCATCCAAAATCTGGGGAAAAACATACGTGTTCCTCATATACTTGGGATACACCGAACTTCTCGGGCAATGGATCATCATATGATATCAATGCGAATTTCACAGTAATAATGATTTTCCATCAGATTCAGTATCCTGTGATTGAATGGGAAAGATTTGAACAAATAGTCCACAATGAATCTAATGTAATTCTTGGTATACAGCATAAACACTTAAGATCAATTGTTTACCTTCAGATATTTTAAACCCAGATTCGAAAAAAACTCATCAACTTACCTTTATACAAAGAATTTCATCCATATTTTAAATATTATGCATGTTCTATCATTACCAAAGGTTTAAATTAATTGATTTAGAGCAAACTTTTTTTTATTATTAGTAAATTTACTTCGCTAACTGCATATATCATTTTTTTGTTACTTCAAACAAAACTGTACTTACAGATTTAAAAAATTAAGCAAATCAAATTATATTTAAATTTCAATATTTGAATAATACCACTTTAATTAAATAACTTAGGTGATTTTTCAAAATAATACTGATTCCAAAACTTTAATATCTTAATAAAATGAAATTTGATCCACTTTAAAAAACTGTAAAATTTGAAGTGTAAAATTGGTAGATAATGTATAAATTATTAAACTAATTGTTTTATAAAGTTATTAAATTATTTGAATAAAATTTCGAAATACCAAGAGGAAATCAATGAATAAAGAAAAAAAACAGAAAGAGAAGGAGAAAATAAAAGGAAAAAGGAGGAAAGGAAAGAAAAAGGAAAAATAATATAGGGCATATTTCATAAATGGCGACATTAACTTTGTGATGTTCATGGCCGGAGGCGGCGACGCGCCCGAAGGGCTAGCGCTGCCGCCGGAGGCCCGATTTTTTTACAAGATTATTTTTTCCCCACTGGCTTTTCCCAGATTTTGGCTTTATCAACCAGAAACGACCACCTTACTAAATAGATTAGAGTAATAGTGTGTATCATTATAATATCATTTATTAAAAATTCGACAGCTTTTTCTTGTCTTTGACACCTTTTTCCCGAAACTGCAGTATGAATGAATTCATAAAGGAGATTCGGAATATCTTAATGGTGCAAAATTATCACACAGACGATTCAGTTGCAATGTATAATGAATTGATTGAAAATACCCCAAATTCTTTATCATATATCCTTAATTTTCTCATTCAATACCCAGATGATATGCTTTTCTCCATTATTTTCCCTACTTTAGTGCGAAATATAGGCAAATTCTCCGTGCTTGATCAAAAATCCATTGCAGATTTACTGTTACAGTTATATTTTTCAAGAAACACACCAGAAATATCATGTATGAAACTATACTGTTCTATATGTCTTCTATTTGATTACAGAACTGAAAATCTTTTTGAAATTTTTCTTAATTATTTCGAATCTTCTCTCGAAAACAACATATTACTTGCATCATATGCATTAAAATACATTTTTAAAATCCTTGCATCACAATTATCTGATGATGAATTATTACAAACATTTATTTCCGTGTTTAATGTGATTCACAGTCATTTTTCTAGTGTTTTTGATAGCCATACATCTTGCATAGTCATTACCAACTTTTATAAAACAATGATTCATCATTTTCAACAATCAATTTTCTTAATAATTCAAACTGATTTTATAGAACTTTCATCTCAATTAATACAACATATATTAGCATCTCAAGATTGTATTTCCGAGGATCTATTTATCAAACTCTATTATTACATGTTTAAATTTCTAGATTCAAGTATTAGTATTACAAATATAGAATTAATGAATGTAATGAATCCATTTATCAGTAATATTCTCTCTGTTTCAGAAAATATATTTAAGATTCTTCCATTTCGTTCAATATCAAAATATTTTTTACAAATCATTCAAAACATGATTCAAATAATAGATATTACAGAATATTTTACTACTTTAGTTAACATTTCTTTGATGACTTTGGCTTTATCTGAAGAAGAAATAAGTTATATTGATGAAAATCCTTCAATGTTTTATGATATCGCATTTGAGAATAATGATTCATATTTTTCAGAAAGAAATGTATCATTACAGTTTATTTCTTTATTATTTTCAATGAATCAAAATTTATTTTTAATATCTCTTGGAGAAATTGACAATGAAGCCAAACTAAGAGCTATAGCAGAGATTGCTGGAAATGGAGAATGTTCTTCTGAAGTTAAAACCAAAATTAGGGAATTAATAATTCAATTATTCAGTGAAAATCATGATGTTTTAATAGAATCAAACATTTTATATTTATGTTCTCAGTCATTATGGTTTTTAGATGATGATTTATCTCTTGAAATTCTATCAAATATTGGAAATCTCTTAGATACTGATTCTGATAACGAATTACTTTATTTACTTGGATGTAATATGATAAGATCTAGCTTGAAAACTAATATTTACAGAGAAAATACAGAACTTCTTAATAATTTACTTAATATCATTTTAAATTCAAGCAATTTTGGATCAATTATCTCCATTTCAACTATTTCTACATGTTTTGAATTTTATCCACAAGTAATAAGTAATTTCTGCAATGAATTTATTGCATTTTTGATTGAAATTATTAATGAAAGGTTAGAAATTAACAAAGAGCTTGCAGAAGTTAATTCAAATGAAGATATAAGTAATTCTAAGCTGGCAAGGAATGTTATTCGCATGCTTATGCCATGTATTTCTAATTTTTATTCTGAAATTGATTTTTCTCCAATTCTTGACTGCGTTTCTAACTTTTGTTCTCTGGATTATGTTGAGTCTTTTACTGAGTTCTGTCATATATTCAACTTCATTGCTAGAAAACAGCTTGATTGCGAAGAATTTGTCAATGATTTATTTGAAAACTTTGTTATTTCTGAGAAAAATTCATATAACATTGTTGTTGAGTCAATAATGAGTTATCATTTGACACAATTATATACAAATCCTGCGAGATTTTCTGAAATGTTTTCAAATAAGATTGTTTATTTGTGTATTTTAGTAGATAACTGCAAAAATGTATTTGATGAGTATTATACACCTCTTGAGAACTGTCTGCAACTTATGTTTATTGCCAGATTGATCTATTTGAAAGTCATAAGTGATGAAGATCTTTTTTATTTCACGGAAAAATCAATTTTGGCATTTGAAAATGAGCCAGAATATATAGGAAAAATAGGTAAAGATAGAGTATCAAGACATGGACTTTTTGATTTGATTGCGTGCTTGATTATATCTGGATTCGAAATTGATATTTCATCAATTATAGGAAAATGGTGTCAATTCTCATTAACTGATGAATTTTCAACTGAATATGAGAAGACAATCCAAAGATGTGCTATTTCTAAGTACCTACAATCGCACAATGATGAATCTCTCGCTGAAGGTCTTCAATTGATGTCTTTACAACCAATTGAAAGAGAAGAATTCATAATTGAAGTTCAAAAGATTCAGCAATTTCAGTGCTTAGTTGATATACAACAATTGCAGTCAGAACTTGCTTAATTTTAATATAAAATGTTTGAAATTTATCATGATTTTATTTAATTAACTGTTTTTGACATTTTTAAGAACAAAACACTCTAATTTTAGACTATACAACACATGTTATTCTGCTTATGCCAATATATTTGTTCAAATTATCAAGAAATACCACTTTCAATAAATATAAGCTGCGGGAGTTAATTTATTAGGCATTAAACATTATTATATCGGTCACTAAATTTCCAAATGAAGCAGTTTTTCATTGATTCAAGCACAATAAAAATTTGAATTATTTTTTCTAAAGATAACTGTGAATTTTCAAGGAATTTTTATAAGATGATAGCTATGAAACTTTTTTTGAAATGTATATCTTCTTACTGCATTTCCTCTCAAGAAATATTACTAGGTTACTCAGAATAATGAAAAGTTTAGGAATCTTTGATTATTTAAAGATGTCTGATTGTGAGTCTTTGATTAAGTCAGTGTCACTCGCAATTTTTGTTTTAAGATACATGTAAATGATTGGGATAAAGAAGTTACGCCATTTTACTCCTTTGGTTTTGCGAGTGATTGATATTGAGTTGACAATGTTCATAATCTACTCTATTGAGCTGAATCATCGAAGAATTGTGACGGTGCTGATCAGCTATTGCACTATTCATCATATTATGATATCTAATTCTCAAGTCATTCAATATGTTGAGAACTTTAAATATGTATGATGGGATGGAAAAATCTCAGTTTATACTTCACATTTTCTGAAACTCTTTCAATTCATAAATAAGTTCTTTTTAAAAATGTTTCCTATTATAAGCATTCAACACTTTGCTGCAAATCTAATATTATCAATCATTAAGGAGATGTCAGAAAGTTGTAGGAGCATCATAAATAACTAAAAAATAAAATTTTATGAAATAAATTCTGTTGAAGCTTCGGTAAAGTTTAAAAAATATGAAATTTTAAACGTGAATGCTTTGGCATCGATGATACAATTTTCTTTTGTAATATTGGTAAATGTAATAGTTCCAATACCAGTTGTTGATTGTGTTTCGATGCATGAATCAGTAATAGTCAATTTGTAATCTGAGTATTCAATATAAAACATCCATTTTGCAGTGTTTTTGAAAAATACGCAGTGATCAATATTGGTATTGTATTTACAACTAAATAGAACTTGGTTACTGTTTGTTCCGCATTTATTTCCAATAACATTGCAATAAGAAACTGTTTGTATCAAAGAAGTTTCATCATTATAAACAGTAAATCTAAGAGACTGACTTCTAGATTGTTTATTTCCTATGAATGTGGTGAAATTACAATTTCTTGATTCTCCCCAAAGGATGCTACGAATTGATGAATATTCATTGCATATATTATTAGAGATATTATTATTCTGGATGCATATATCTCCATAATCAATATCTAATGTCAAGCTTCCTTTTCCTTCGCTTTCTCCGCAATTTGAAACTGAACTATCAATAAAGTAGTTTTTATTTAAATCTGCTGGTTTCACTGTATGTATAAAAGCCATGTAGCTGTTTGTTGATATTGATGCATAATAACCTGTTCGTTTTTGTACAATCTGTCCTGCACTTTGGCAGTTATAGTAAACAGATCCGCCTTCCAAAGTGGATTTGCAGTGATTGAATGTGGAATCTTCAAGTAATGTGCAGATTTCGTTGGATCTTTCGATATAAATTGCGCCTTTTTCAGTGCAAGATTCAAAATTGCAAAGATAAACGTAGTAACTAGATGAGCTTGATGTATCAGAGAAAGCAGCTCCATTCTGAGTTTGGGTAACTTTATTTTTGCTGCCAAAGTATTCAGACCAACTGAATTTTCTTGCATTTTTCAAAATGAAATTGAATTGGTACATGTTTTAATGGCTGCATCAATTTATTGAGTAGATAATAAAGCAGAATTAATTCCACTTGTACATTGCTGAGAGTCAATCTTATTTGTCCTGGTGAAATTAATTCTGTTTTGAATCAAAAATAAATAAAGCTCATAAAAAGTGACGTTTTTGAAGGAAAAAGCCGATATTCTGATCAATATTCAAAATATGTTTCACATTTTTTCTGAGAAGCTGCAAGCTGATAAAAAGTGTGAATACATATTTTAATAGGTTCTAATACTTTTTTCGGGCTTATTTTATAAGCCCGTAAAAAGTGTCAAGCCTATTATCATATCACCTGTATTTATTATTCATAATGATTCTATTCTTTAATATCTACATCTCCAACTTGAATATCCAATGAAAAATTTTCTTTTTCTTCGTTCATTTTTTAGTGTGATCCCACAAAATGGATTGATTAATCAAGAAACAGCATTCATATCTATTATATCAAACAAAGAACTTATCAAATTTACTCAAATTTCTATGAAATTGAAAAATTCCAAAAGGATGTGAGTCCTTCATGTTTTTATTCAGAGAAATAGCTTATTTTTTTATCTTAATACTGGTTTCTCGTAGAAAGAAAAACAATTGAGTTGGAAATCGAAATTATGTAAAAAGAGAAAAAAATATTAATCAGATCTTTTAGAATAATAAAACAAGTTTACGATGTAACCAAAGTAATTTGTATTGACAACTTTTCTATAAACAAAGTTTAGATAGGTTATTATTAAGGCCTTGTAATTCTCAACCAATGTATTTTTCTTTGAATTGGATGTATTTTGAGGTATTTTATTGTTCAGAAGGAATTACAAATTGATTATTGTTTCGAAATACAGTTTTAATTTGATTTAAAAACTGATCTCTTGTTTGCTCAGATCCTGAATCACTAAAAAAGGCGTTAATTCCATCTTGTAGATCTAAATTGTTTTGAGTGCAATATTTTTCAAATTCAGACGCAAAACGTTCGAATGCACCTTGAAAATTGGGATCTGTACTATAACATGCTTGCAGTTGCTGAAATAGCTCATCTTCATTTAATGTTTCCCACCTACTTGTGTTAGACTGCATCAAAAAATTTTTGATGGAAAAAAAGTATTGAATTTTTTAATTTTTTTAACAATTCGCTTTGTGATCTTTGTTTCCAGTCTTGTGCTTTTGCCGCACTTAAAAAAGCTTCTGAAGCTTATGTCGTTGGCCTCTTCAAGGATACCAATCTTTGAGCTATCAATGTTAACATTGTTATGATCATGGAGCGTGATGGTCAGCTCACTCAGCGAATCAGAGGTGAACACATCATAATTCAATTGTTATTCGTTTGTTCACTTAATGTATTCATATAAAAAACTCAATGGTCTTAATTACTTAATATTTAATCATTTTTGTTTTTAAAAAGGAGATTTCAATATATTATGTATCTATAGGCGATTACGAATATTCTAATTAGTGAAGAATAGATTATAGAATTCCTTTTAAAAGGAATGAAGAAAGATTGATCCCGAAAAAGTTCATTAAAGCGCAAGAACATAGCATTTTTAAAAAATAAGAATATGATATTTGTAAATGAAAATATATTTAAATCCATAATTATATTTCAAAAATATGGGAAACAATTCTATATAAACAACTTAACAGTAAGTTCTCTCTGTTATAGCTGTTATTGTTATAGCATCTATTAAATAGTTTTTTGATGAAAAGAAAAAATTATTTTTTTTATTATTGTAATCTCATATTCCATCCGAAATGCATATAAAATAATTGGAAACAACTGTAATTTTTCGAAATTGGTATTATTTATATATCTTGCAAATTATATGGAGTTTCGGAGTGGAAAACATATTGAGTTGGGATTAATGAAAACAATTTACCCAAGTTTAGAGTCTATTAGATTAGAATCCAAAGCAACATGTACAATAGAGAACAAGGAAGAATCAATTGATATTTATTTGATTGGACCATTTCTTTTTGGACTCGGAATAAAGCCATCAAACTTCCAGCTGATATTCTACTCTCCTCACTTTTGTTCTACTTTAGATCGTCAGAAATTAACAATAACTTTTATCCCAAATTCACCATTTTTTCACTCGAAAATTCTACTCGCTTTGCCATCTACTGAAATAGCAATACAATGGCATAAATTTTTTATTAAAATTAACGATATAATTCACAAAATTCCACAAAATAAAATTCCGCCAGTCTCAATTCTAGCAAAAGTCTATAACAAGACCACAAACTCTATTAACACAGCAGATGTGAACGTTTTCGGCGAACAAATACGAATTAAAGAACAAAATCAAAAACCTGTTAAATTTGAAATCCAAACGCAGAATATTAATTGTGTTTTAGCACTCGAAATGCCAACTCCTCCCAAAGACTATTACTTTACATCATTTGCTGTAGTATACAGAAAGTTCGGAGATTTATATGTGATATGTGATAGTATAGATCAGCTTATGTTTACATTCATTTCAATTGACCTTACAATATGGAATATCCGTAAGCAAAAAACAGAGATAAAACTCAAGATGGCTCAGCCATTTTCGAAAAAGAACAATTTGCAAAATGATTTACCCCAATTTATATGCGACATGAACATAAATAACACTTTAGAGCTTCCGAAAACACCTGAGTTGACATTCGTTTCCCGTGTTCCGATCCCTGAAAAGGCTTCAAACAGTGTAGAAATTATCGATTTTAATAGGGAAGTTCACCGGACGATAATTTTACAACCATTCAAAATTAAATCGAATTTCCAAGAGAACCAAAACAATGAGATTCCTATAGAAGATATACCTAAAAACGCTTTCCGCGAAGAAATCGAAAAAATCAGAAATTCGATTGAAATTTCGAATAATGTCGAAGTAAAAGTCCCTCAAGAGAAAGTAACTAAAGAGTTTATGCAGCAGAGTGCCAGTGAATTAAGCAGTTGTATGTATTTCAGACCTATTTGCGATCCAAGACTTATTTTTCTTTGTCAAAAGATCGGAATTCCATTTAATAACCCTGTTTTTTCATTAAATGGTCAAAAAGAACTGGATCAGATTGCCTCATTCAAGACACTCAGCGAACTCAGTGTTTTCATAAGCTCAATACTCATAAATGGTACAACAGATACAATGCTTCTTTCCAAAATACCTTTGTTATGCGCAAACGATAAAAATATTTTGGAATCATTGCCAAATTTAAAAATGTCACCTTTTTCAAAGTTGACAATTTTTGTATCACGATTAATCAAGACATTGAGGATGAAGAAGTTCGTAGAGCTTCTTATGAACAATCACCAGTTAAGGAAGACCATTTACAGAGAAGATGCAATGTGTAATTCCCCAATTTTCCTCGAAAAATTGAAAGAAAGAGTTACTGTTTACTTTTCAAAGGCATCGACACCTTGTTTCGATGTCTATCCACTTCCTTTCGCTACAAGAGAGAGATACGAGTACTTGATAAGAAGCATCGTTCCGAAAGCTGAAAAAGACCCTGAATTGGCCGGACGATTAATTTTCTATTTGGTAAAATTTTTCACTTTGAACCTAAAGAACGGAAAAATTTTACAAATAGTTGACTTAACGATGAAAATCATCAAGGATGAGAACCAGAGACAGATGTTAAATGCTTCCTATCAGTTCGCAATCAAAAACAAAGAGTCTGATTTAGGAAAATTCGCAATGACTTTGTTGAAAGGCTTGGAATGCGGCCAATTGTATGTTTGGGTATTATACATTGGTAAGGCAATTATGAGTAACAAGTCTATGTATAATGAAGAAGCTCCTGCATTGGATCCAGAAAATATTGTGATTATTTCTGATTCAATCATCAAATTAGCTGGTGTTATATTCGATTTCGATATCGATATACTCGATAAGTTCCCATTGTTCCATTAATATTAAATAGTTCTTATTTTGTTGTTTGTTTGAATATAAAAATATTTTTCTAATTAATAGCAAACTTTTTTGGAATCAAGGTAAATTATAAAACATGTGATAGTCAATTTGTGTGCTTATTATAGGAATAAATTACAAAATATAAAATGAAAAATAATTTTTATTTGAGTTATTATATTAAGCAGTATAAGTTAGTCATTTTCTGGTGAATAAATTTAAAATATATGTTTGTAGTGTTTGGTTTTCGATACAATTTTTGAAAATATATTTTGTCTCACATCAAATAAGTCTTTTAGTCCGATAAATATTGGTTCCAATAAGAATCTAAGTCGAATTAGTTGTTTAAAATGATATATATCGAGGAAAAAAAGAGGCGGGGATTTTGTCACTTTTATATTCAAGGTTGTCAATGAAGAAGAATTCGGCCGATCACGGCCAAAAAAACGAAGGACGCTTTCCATGGGTATTTAAAACAGAGGGAAGCATTCATTATTTCAAAAAATGCGAGAAAAAAGTCATTTATTTCTCTGTAAAAGAAGTTGACGTCAAAAAGATTGCTGAAGATGTATTTAACTCAACTGTTTTAGGTGTCGGTATTGATTTATCGCCAAATGGATCTGTTAGAGTGATTTCAATTTGTAGCAAAACTTACGTTTTTGTTATCTCGATAAATAATGGTTATATCATCTCAGCTTTAGGATCATTCCTTAGCTCTCTTAATAGCAAATTACTTGTTGGCTATAATATCGATAGAAATCTCTCTGCACTCAAAACAGCGCATGGAATAACATTAAACGTTAAAGATTTACTTTTGGACCCAGAATATTCTGATGGTATCAAAGCAATGATTGATGATTCTGAAATAAAGGAAGTTTTTAAACGCGGAGAACTCGATATTCAAAATGTTGCAAAATTTGAGACATTATTTTCACTTTCCAATCAAGTAATGACCGCTATTACATTCCCTGCAGTGTTATCCTACTACTATATCACCTCAAATGAAGGAAATAGGCAAGAAGCGATTCCATTACCACATAAAGACTTATTAAGTAATCGTGAAATCATATACAAAGTTCCATTTGCATTACTTCCTCCTGAAAAGCCAAAAATTATTCACAAAATTACTCCAATTAACAATACAAGTTCAGATTCAATGCAAACAAACAAAACATCAATATCATCACAACCAGCGTTAGACTCTACATCTCTTAAGATCTCTTCTCCCGATCCAAACTACAAACCACCAGCACCAAAAACATTTGACATTGATTTACAGAAAACTATGGAAGAACGGCCGACAATTGCATTACAGCGTCAAAGTCCCGTTTCAACTCCCCTTGTTATCACTCGAAGATCCTCAATTCCAAAATTACATACGGAAACTCCTCCTCCCCCTGATGTTAAACCAGTGACAGAAGAAGGCAAGAGGCACAGGAAGGAGAGTTTGCCCTCAAATTCTGCAAAACCAATAATAGTGAAGTATAAAAGAAGAATTTCCACAAACAACGATAAAAACTGCCCAATATGCAACAAGCAGCATACAACAAGCGTTGCCGTCGGTATACACATTGTTTCTGACCATGGAATCGAGTTCCAGGTCGTAAATAATTTCAAGCGAGTCGGATGTCCGAATTATGTTTGCGCCCTTTGTAATCAATATATTCCATCGATCGAGATGTTCATTACCCACATTGTGGACTCACATACTCAAGAATTATATGAATTTTTCAAATCGATCGAAATTCCTGAGAAAAAAGAAGAAGTTCTCGAATTTATTTCAAACCTTGCAGCATCAGCAGTCGGAACAATCTCGGAAGAAGTTTTTAATGATCTCAAAAAGATGGAACTTAATCTTGTCAAAAAAGGACAGATGAATAAAGAACTCAAATGCTTGGCTTGCAACGAGACATTTGAAACTCACACAGAACTTCTAATGCACTGCTGGACTAGTCACAATTAAATTTTATTTTGTTATTTATTTTGTTGTCGTAAATATAATATTGTGTCGCTTGAAAATTTTCTATTTTTTAGTCAAAAAAAATTAATTCAAAAAAATATTTCTGAAATTAGCCAACAAATTACACAAACACTATAACCAAATTCATTTTCATGCGATTTTATTACGATATTACTATATTAATTTGTTCAAAAATTATTATTATTCAAAGTAGTATATGAGTGCGGGTTGTGTGACTTTTTTTGTTGCATCTATATATAGACGATGCATTAAAATATATTTATTTATAAATCATTAAAAAATTAACATTAATTTTAAAATAATTTATTTTTTATCTTTTATAAAATAATCTATATATAGATGATATCAGATATTCCGCGATTAATTAAACATTGTTTAAATCCTGAATGGGTTAAACTTCAATTTAAAAATGAAGATTGTGAATTATTAAATGAATATGAAAGCCAAAATAAGCTAATGAGGTATAAATATAATGATAAAGAATATTTAATTTCATGGAATCAATGGAGTCATAATCAAAGACCTCATAAACGAGAAGAAGAAATTGAAAATAATGAAATGGAAATCATTGATGACATTAAAGAGGATGGAATTCCTAAATTTTGTAGAAAAACCTTTAGAACTAAGTTAGGAGCATATAAACGTAGAGTATTAAATCCTGAATATCTTAAACATCAATTTAAAAAGGAAGACTGTGAATTATTAAACGCTAATGAATATGAAAATGCAAAATCAAAACTGAGATATAAATATATTGGAAGTGATGAAAGGTGTAAAGATAAAGATAAAGTTTATTCAGTTTCATATAATAACTGGCACACGTTAGGGATAAGAAAACATTTAGGAGATTATGGTAAAAGTTCTGAATTCTTCAAATCTAGTATGTACGAGAGAATAAAAGAAATCAGATATAATTATCATTCATGAATGAAAAATAAACTTTAAAAATTCATGTCTTACATTTTTTGAATAATTTATTTTTTTAATTCGTATGAAAATGAGAGGATCAAGATTCGTAACCGTCAATCAATTAATGGATGCTCTTTCACCAATTCTTGAAAATGTTAAACAAGTAGATGTTTATTTCGATGATTATGTAGAAAGTTTATATTATAAAGGTAAGTTTAATATTAAACCTATTGCTTTTGCATTTGATAATAAATTAATTGAAAATGCAAAAATTTGGGAATTAATTCCAGATATTGAATATATAACAAATATTAATGATAAATGGTTTAAACGAATTCCAACCACAAAAGTTCTTTGTAAATTAATGATCAAAACTGAGGAAAAAGAATTTAACGGGTTTAAATATCATCCAAATAAAGTTTCAGAACTAGAAAATGAAAAACTTCAGAAAAAATTAAACGATAGACTTTCAAATGATCGTATTGAAAAAATAAATAAACTAGCAGAAGTTGCATTTAATAATGAAATATTTGATGAATATAACCTTGAACTCAGTGATGGACTTTAAGTCCTGGGCACTTTGTGCCTTGGCTTTAAGGACCCGGGCTCAACGAGTCATGATTTATGAAATCAATATTTGATTTATTCGCTCTTCAATAATTTCTATTCTTTTTGTTAAATCATCTATTTTCATTAATGAGGTGATTCTTGATTGAGGAATAGATTTTAAACTAACAACACCTTTTATTTTTGAAATTTTGAATCCATGACCCTCCGGGTCTTGGACTCTGTCCTCAACTTTAAACATTTTATTCAATTTACATGTTGTCAATTCTTCAAATAATTTTTTATTATTAGCATAATAGTCATTAAATTCATCAACAGATGAAAAAATTTTTATTTCAGTAATTGGTTTAACAACGTTTATTTTTTGTTGAACATTTTCACTTTCATTTATTTCTTCCTCCTCTGTTTCATTTATTTTTAAAATCGGTTTCATTTATCATTAAATAAAAAATTAGAATATAAGTGATGAAATATATTTTTTAATTAATATTAAATCAGAAATGGCGGCAGGATTCTTTAAAAAATTATGGGAAGGAATTAAGAAAGCTGCAGTTGGGTTATAAAAAGTTATTAAACCCGTTGCAAACTTTTTGGCACCAGTAGCGAAAACGGCAGGAACTATCATAGGTGGAGTATTAGGTACTAAAGCAGGTAATCCGGCGATGGGAGCACAAGCAGGTAACGCAATTGGTGGAATTGCTGAAGGAATACTTAATAAAATAGGGGGATAGTGGAAAAATAAATAAATATTATTTTTATCTTAGTATCGGTTGTAGTCGACGATAAACCTTATCTCCTTTATTTAATACTTCCCTTACCGGAACATTAGGTGCTATTTGTTCAGCAACGTCACTAATTGCTTCTTTATTCTTAAATATCCAATTTGCTCCTTTCTTCATTTCCCAAACTTTATGCGCTCCTCTTTTTACTTTATCCCACAGTTTCTTAAAGAATCCTGCAGCCATAGTTGATTATTTCATTAAAATTAAAAATTCATTTTCATCTTTTAATTTTGATTTTTTATTTATAATAAATGACGACTAACTATTTAGTGCCAAACACTAAACCGATTAATGGAAATGTGTTTCATTCATTCGAAAAGATAAATGAAATATTCGCAAAGAATGATGGTAGAAGATATTATAGAGAACTTGAAAGTTCATGCTATGACTCTGATGCTCCATATTTTGATGATAAACAAACTCATTTAAGAATTACAAATCCGGCTCATGATGTGAACCAATTAGGTGACACATATATTAAACGCAAAGTTAAAGCAACTCTAGTTTCAAATAAAGCTTTCACATGTGATGCCGCTTTTAAATGCATGCGTTTATTCGTTGGTTACAAATCATCAAATCAAAGCTTTAAGCAATTAGAAGTAGAAACCGAAAGAGGTGATGCTGGTTATCTTCAGATGGATTGCGCCCGTGAATCTTTCGCATTTGCAACATATAAACCAAAATCAGAAAGGAAAGTTAAAAAGTTTGTTCATTCGTTATATAATAATGTTCAAAAATATGATAACTCAGTATGTGGTAAATATATTGACCCTTCAGAAGTTTTCAAGAAAGCAAATGAAGAAGTTGATGTCACTTTTGATATGATTATTCCGGTAAATGATTTGTTAGCATTTCAGGCGTTCGATGATTATCCTAAATCATTTGGTGAAATCATTCTTAAATATTATGTTTTCAGGGATACTTTAGTATTTTGTCAGGTTGACCCGTTAAGAGTTGCTGATTTACAAAATTACGTTTATGAAAAGATAACTGATGAAAATTATGAAAAGATTATGAATCATGTTTATAAATATGATCGCAAATTCCAACAAATCGGACTTCCTGCCAAATTAATTACAAGCTTAGCCGCTACATCTGCTGACGCAACAGTTGAAGACGTTATTATTTCATGCACAAAGATGGAAGTTTTAGAGGATAAATGCATTACACCAGGATACGGTTTAATTGAAGAATCAGTTAAAGCAATACCACGTTTATTAGTAAGGAAGATCCATTCATGATTCCAGCTCAACATATTGACGTTCGTTCACTAAATGGAGGTTGCATCACTCCTGAAGGTATAGCTCAGATTTCTCATACGCTCTTCATAATGTTACAGATGTTGTGTTAACATTTCCGAAGAATGCAATGCAAAGAACGGTTTTAGAAAATCCAATGCTTCGAGGTCTTCAGGTCACTATAGATTCCAGAAACTTCCCCGATCAAGCGATGACCACAGTGGGCGACATATTCTTTACACGTATGCTTCAAGCTTCTGATTTAGATGGAGTGAATGAATGCACGGAAGAATACGAGGACTCATTAACTAGACCACTGAATGATGATAATGGCACCATTAGCTAGAACATGGAAAGACCAAACTTCATTCTTATGCACTATTCCAGTTCAACGTGATGGAGCGGGTATATTCTTTGATGGATTAGAAACTTTCAACTCACAAGTTACAGTACAAGTGAAAGCTTATCCAATCATTCAGGGTGAAAATGACACTTACTGTTCAAAGGTGACAAATCCTCCTCAGGTTTGGTTTACTAGGACTACATATTGGACATGGACACCGGATGAAGGTTTGAAATATCATCCAACAGGTACACCACCACAGTATAGAAGTTCATATGATGAAATATTGATGAATAGAAATGTAAAATTATAAATTTATTTTTGATTAAATGGATTTAAATTCATCCACCCCTTATGAAGAATTAGCAGGAGTATATAATACATACGTAGATGATATGATTAATGAAGCATTGAGTGATAATAGAAATGCTCTATCTAAGGAAAAATTAATGAAAATTCCATATTCTGAATGTTACTTAAATTCAATCACTGCAGCAATTGGTAAACAAAATAAAGGTAAAACATTAACGATATTAAAACAAATTATCATTATTGCTAACACTTCACCCTATTCACATGTGTTAATTTATATCAACCGTTCAGGTTCACCTTCAGATGATACATTTGAATCTTTAAAGCATTTAATCAAAATTCCAATTATTTATTTATCACAAGAAGAAGCAGAAGATTATTTAAAAAACTTTGTAATGTATAAAGAATTATATAATACAATCAAGAAGCAAGGATTAGAGGATAAAATTATTGATAAACAACGGGATGAATTATTTGAAACACTTTCTATTTCAAATTTTGATAGAGAATTTTTGCATTCACTCATTTTTCTAGATGATGCAGTGAAATCAAAACTAATAACTAATGAGAAATCATATTTTAATCAGTTATTAACTCAATGTCGACACATTCAGTGTTCATTCTTCATGGCTGTTCAATACTTTAAAGCATTAAGCACAAACATTAAATCAAACTGTCCACCCTTTTCATTTTCAGTGGTTTTAGTCGTCAACAGTTGAACGTTATGCTTTATCAAGTGAATTTACCAATGAGCATTAATGAACTTTACACACAATATCAACAATTAGGAGAACATGGAAAAATAATAGTTGATTTAAATAAAGGTTCCAT